CCCCCCCCCCAAAAAAAAAAAGAGTCTTGTGGACTTTCCTGCCCAGACTGGCTTTGAACCACAATCCTTAGATCCCACCCTCCTTAGTAGTTGGGATTACAGGGGTGAGCAACTGGTGCCTGGTTTCAAGCAGATTTTTAAACTTAAGGATCTCAAAGAGATATGCATTTGACAACAGTTTAGTGAAATGTACTCTATTTGAAACTTAATATTTTGTTTTGCTTTTGTTTATAGGGCTAGGGATCGAACCCTGGGCCTAAAATGTGCCAGGGAAGCATTCTTCCCCAGCTCTAAACCTACTAATATTCTAATTGGGAACTCAGAGTCACTGTGCCAAAGATTTGATATTATTCTTAAATTTTTTTTTTGGGGTCCGGTCGTGGGGCCTGAACTCTGGGCCTGGGCGCTGTCCCTCAGCTCTTCAGCTCAAGGCTAGCGCTCTACCACTTGAGCCACAACACCACTTCCGGCTTTTTTCTTTTTGCTTATGTGGTGCTGAGGAATTGAACCCAGGGCCTTAGGCATGCAAGGCAAGCCCTCTACCACTGAGCCACCTTCCCAGCCCCTATTCTTAAAATTTTTAAGTTTAACCTATATTCATTTATTGGGGACTTTTTAATGCTATCTCAAGGACCTTTTAAAAATATATAATGTGGGGCTGGGAATATGGCTTAGAGGTAGAGTGCTTGCTTTGTGTGCACGAAGCCCTAGGTTCAATGCCTCAGTACCACATAAGCAGAAAGAGCCAGAAGTGGTACTGTGGCTCAAGTAGTAGAGCGCTAGATTTGAGGTGAAGCGCTGAGGGACAGTGCCCAGGCCCAGAGTTCGGGCCCCACGACCGGACCCCCCCCAAAAAAAATGTCTATAGCCAGATGCTGGGGCTCATGCCTATAATTCTAGCTTTGGGCCCAGTGATTGATAAGTGGGACTGTGCACAGTAGCCTGGTTCTGACATCAGAATGGTGATCCCTTCACCACCACCAGGGGCCAGTCTTGCTGTAATGAAGGTCATTCACGTTCCCCCAGGGGAGCCAGCCACACACTAGAAATTCCAGGATTTGATCAGTACTGATCATGTGTGTGTTGCTTTTTCAGAACTATGAAATGTCAATGTGTCCTTTGAACTCTGCTTCACTGGAAATCCCTCTGTTATTTTTCCCATCTGGTTTTCTTAGAATTGCTTGTCCTTTCATCATTCTGGAAATTATAACTTTCCTATTATTCAACATGAAGGAAAGCTTACTATGTAACAGGCCCCGCAGACACAGCAACATACTTTGTTTCATCTATGAAGAATGCTTTTTGTTGAAAAAATCATGGCTAATGTTGGTTATTTAGCTATACATGCAAATTCAAGTAAGACACAATCTAAGAGATCGTCTTTATTTCTTAGTTGTGAATTTTCTGTGCAAATATTGCATGACATTAAAATAGCAACATTCACAGGTTTAATCATTGAATGCAGATACTCAGATTGTGTATGA